GGGGCTTTTCTGGGCTGAAGTAACTGTCAATCTATCCAGCGGGAGAGGAGAGACAGGGAAACTGGGGCAACAGTTTTATTCCTTCATAACAGGGAAAATATGACCCAGTATCTTGGTGTTTCTGCAACCTTGCAAGCTGCCTTTAGTAGGTCTGTATGGGAGGGGCTTTAACTGTCAATCTATCCAGCACTAACCAATTGTTTCCTCCTACCTCTGAATTCAAAGAAAAGAGAGCTCTGCCTGTCTTCTAAGTGTCTTTCCCCCTTTCCTATCTCTGTTGGAAGCAGGCAGTGTGTCTGTTGAAGTCTGTTGCCAAAAGCAGCCATGTTTATCAGTTTGCTGTTTGATCTGTTTAACTGTAAGTAATGAAACCTTTTATTCTTTCTCTTACAAAGGTTTCAGAGTGAGATGCTGAGACTAAGTGCCAGTTAACGATAAAAAGGGGTGGACTAATCTCAGGGACTTGAAGTTATTCTGCTCTGTAAATTTCTGCACTTCTCCTGCACAGCTAGAGGATTTTAACCAAAAATTCAAAATTCTGCAACACATCTTTCACAGATGCAGCAGGAATCCAGTAGTCATGGAGAAATAGTTTTGAATGCATCCCATTTGCAAACGTATCACTCACTGAATTAAACCACACATCAGAGGAATCACAAAAAATACCATGGAACTCAAAACTACAGCATCAACAATACTCTTCTGTTCTGGAAACATGTAACATTGCTTAATCACGTATTCATAGTATGCATGATAAAACATATTTCTTTAAGTGTCATACAGTTTGAGTTGAAACACAATGATATGAAGATAAGTGTAAGGCAAGACCTCACAATGGTTTACAACTTCTATTTTGGGCAGAAAGAGGGAGGGAAGGAGGGAGGGAGAGAAAGGGAGAGGGAGGGAGAGCAAGCACTCAAGATAATTCTGCATAAGGCTATCACTTGCAAAGGTCTGCTGTGTTTCCTGTAACATTTATATCTGCCATAAGATAAACGGGGTCAAGTCCAACCCAGAACATTATGAAGTTAAATAAATTTTGCCAAGAAACACTCAACGTATTTCTCCAACAACAGGGAGTCACACTGATTGGATTTTTCACAATTTTTACTGTTTTGGATTTGGGGGGAGGAAGGTTAGCTGTGGGTTCCCTCCCACCCCCCAATGATGGATCATATGATTTGGCAAATCATGATCCTTCCTCAGCAATCTGTCATTGTTCTTCAGTTAGTAGGTATAAACTGAACATGGCCTAAAAAGAAATTGTTTTGGCAAATGGCATTGTCATTTTGTGGATCGGTTGATGAATGAAATCAAAAAGCCAAGGTAACCACTACCATTATGTCTATTGATATTTCCATTTTGCTATATATCAAGATCGGCAGCAAGTGGATGAGATCAGCAAAGTCACACAAACTATCCAGCACCTACCAACGCCTGCACCACCAATAGTCACTGACAGTTATGGGCAACAACTACAGCTGTTTTCTTCTGTACTGGGGGTTGTAGGAGTGTCATGAGTGCAGCCGAAGATCCAGAACCTGAAGGGTTAACTGGAGAATGCTGAGCAATCAGAAATACAAACACCTGAATCGCCTCCAGATTCTCCTCCCCCAATAGACAGGCTGACAGCCAGGCTTTGGGGAAGACGTATGACCAAAATGTCAGAGGATCACTTGAAGGCTGCCCGCAGAAACATCCGATCAACTAGCCCTGAGTTCTGACAGGATGAAAAGGCTGCCAGCAGTTCAAGGGCTGTTTTTACTATATAAGCAGCTCTCAGATGGCTGAAAATCCGTGTAAGCAACAAGTCAAACCTCTGGCTTGCATCCATGCTCCTGACAACCTTGAACTGCGTTCTCTGGACTCTTGGCTTTGTACTCTGACCCTGGACTACGTTGTGTGAGTTGGCTTTGGTATTTGGATATCGGCTCTGCATTCCATGAATTCCCAACATAGGACTGGCTTATCGGACTCTGCTGTTGTAACCCCCGGGAACATGAAAAGGAGAGCACCTTATTCTTTGTAATGCAGCAGTTAAACTGCAGTACTGAAATCAAGACTCTGCTAATGACTGGAGTTGGATCCTAAAGGCTTAGGTAGCTGGTTCAATGTTGACTCAGCTTTCCAGCCTTCCAAGGCTTAGAAACTGAGCACCCAGGTCCTTAATGGGGTGGGGCGGAGGAAGCAATGTGTAGCCTTCATAATTAAATTGCAAATCACCCAGAGAGGGCTTTAAATGCTGTGGGGGAGTGTACAGGCAGCAGACTTTGCTTTTATTCCCTTTCAGACATTTTCTGCACCACCATAGCTTTCATAAAGTTTTGTTTGACAGGGGCTATTCAGGGGCAGCAAATATGGCAAAAATGGCCGGGGAAGGACATATGATCCCCATTCTTGCTATTATGCTTCATCAGATGAAGAACTGGTCTCTGGCAAGCTTTTACCCCTCTCCTCCTTCTTTCCCCCTTCTTTTTGCAAAAGCTCATTGAAACTTCTTCAAGGGCCAAGAACTGCTATGGAAAGTCGGGGGGGGGGAGAGAGAAGGCAAACGCACAGGAGAATTTTGCTTCCCTCACAGTCACTCCAGAACCACCTCCTCATGAACTCTTCCTCATTTTCTGGACACAAAAAAGGCAGTGTCCAGTGCCGGAGGCCTGCAGGTATGGGTGATTTTCATCACTAGCCTCCATAGAAGCCAAATATACAGCCCAGAAGCTGTTCAGCTTCGCTGTTTTTCATCAGTCTTGGGGGGGGGAATTTTCACTTCTTAACAGTTATATCCTAAGGTGAAGTTACATTCTTCATGATATTAGAACATGACTCAAGCCTGTTCAATACCAATATTTACTGTACCTAATTGATCAGCAATTTAAAACATGCTTCCTATCCAGTGTATTGAATTCAACGTAATTTAAGACACAAGCTTTTTTACAGGTTTAGCCTAGATTTCCAAAGCACACAGGAAACTAAATTTAATTTGCTGGGTAGGTAAAAAACCATTTAAAACCATTAACTACTGTTGTGATTTCTTTCTTCTGTTCCCAATCACCCCCAACTGAGACAAACTGATAATTGAGGACACTACCTGCGTCAAATATATACGTCACTCCAAAGGAAGTGAAGGCTTCTTCTAAGCATAAGATAAACACATATCTCAGTCTTTTGCAAAACACAGCCAAGTTCACTGTCTCTTGACTTTCTCAGTCTCATCTTGTACTCAATAGCTGAAATAAAAAAAGTCCTTGTCCTCTAAACCAGGAGTGAACAAAGTCACCACCAATATCCTAAGAATAATCCCTCTATTCTACTCTATTTGACTGGTTCAATCAGGAGGGATAAATACGTTATATCTCCTGAGAAATGACACAGCTTCCAAAGGTATGAATAGATTTGTACAAGGTCTCATACCTTTTTCTTTGTCATCAAAAAAAGAAAATCTAGGAATCTTTAGTGTCTAATATGTTGAAAGATTTGTGACAGCTCAAGTTAAAAGCTTTATTTCCCCCCCACTTTTCTCTGCATTACAGCGTGAAACAAATTTAACAACTAAAGTTTGAGCTGAGCATGGATATAGGGCCTATAAAGCATTACGTTGTGCTGACAGTCAACAGGTTTCGAGCCAGACGAACAAATCATGTTTTAACAGCCTGGCATCCTTGCAGTAAAAATGGCTTCATAAACATGTTGTTTAAGAGATCCATTAGAAGAAGATAGCTCTTTTGGGAGCCATCCAGCACAGACTAATTTGTTATCAATCTGCCTTCACAACTGCGTTCAGTACTGACTGCTGTAACTCACTACATTTTGGTGGAGAAATGTCTGGTACAAATGCCCCAGGCCTCTAATGGGGGTTGGGGTGGGGGTAATTATCCTCCTTGCATCAAAACATATTGCCCTGTACAATATGTCATGACCTTGTAATTTCTTCAGATTTAAAAAGGGAGAAATCAAGTAAGCCTTTTGGCCAAGAAATCTTAATACAGGAGCTGCAACCATGGATGGAACTAAGCAAATAGTTCTCAGTCAGTGCGACATCTACAAACTGATGGTAAGAAACAAGCTGCGATAGACATTGGGGTTCATAAAAACTGCTAAGAAATCACTCTGCCTCAATTCGTTGTTTGTTTCCTCAGGTTTTATACTATTTCTGGTTTTGCATGTTTTTGTAAAATTAATGTTAATACTGGTGGAAATCCAGCAGTGGAACTTAATGCCGTCTAAAGTCCATCACTTCAAGAGTTGCAACAGCTGTTTGTAAATTAAATTCAAAATCTTTTTTTTTAATGCTTCCCATCCTTAAGGCTCCCGTGGGATCCCTTTCAATGTGGGAAATGGAGGCTGCAGGACAGGGAAAATCATTAATTTCCATAAATCACTGCCATCAAGAAAACTGGCTGCCATTTTCAGAAATGAAAGCCACCCCTGGGTTCCTCAGCCCCCGATGGCTTCACCATGCAAAAAGGATACCAAGGTCCTTTGTGGGCAGGGGGAATTGGAAATTTCTAATTTATGAAACCCCACAGTAGCTCATGATGCTACGAGCCTTATATAGTCCACTATGACTAGATTTCAGCCATTATTTTTAAAGAACCAGCTGAAGGTCAGAGCCAACTCACAGAAGGCAGCATAGCATGTAGGAAATGACCAATGATTATGCACAACAGAAGAGCATAGGTTGCTGTCCTCTGAAGATGCCGGCCACAGAGACTGGCAAAACAACCTTCAGAACACGGCCAAAGAGCCCGAAAAACCCAGAACAACCATTAGATCCTACACAACGTTGCAGGGTGCAAAAACTATGGGCAAACCATGTGATTTCATGCACATGAACTCATATTCACACAACTAGTGTATTCTAGGCACCCACTGTTCTTAATAGACAATGAGCGTTAGGGACCCCCTCCTCAAAAAAATACACCTTCTTTCTCTCCATTCTTCCCACATGCTAAGATATTGTTTCCCAGGTGAAATGCAGAAAGTTTAGTACATGTACTCACAGGTTGAACAGACCAAGAGTGCCCTCACCACCAACTCACAGACCAGTTTCAGCTTCTGCTGCACTCTAGAGACAATACACGGAATGATGATCTCAGCTGGAACGTAGAACTGAATGGAATAGGTCACAAAAATCCCAAAGGAATAAAGAATCTTGACCAGCTGATACAGCCTAAAGGGGGAAAAAAAGAAACACACTTGGACAAGATCCATGCAAGTCAAAATATTGTATGCATGTATATTGCTAAAGCGGTGATTAAAAATAACATCTCAATGGTGTACAATATGTAACAATACAAACGACGGAAAAAACCAATAAAGCATAGGAAGATCCATTGTTGGACATCAGTTACTGGGAGAAGCGTTGGTAAAATGGGCTTTTGAAACCACATCGCTACAGATGCTTCATGAATGGCCAACAGCAGAGCCTGGAAAACCAACTCTTAAGAAAAATAAATATAATGACATACTGAAGTAATTTTTGATTGATTAGTGATGGAATCAGTTTTTCACCATCATTGACTGTGGTTGATAGGGACTGAAGTCCAATGACCTCTGACAGGACATAGGTTGTTGTTGTTGTTGTTAGTATTAGTATTAGTATTAGTAGTAGTAGTAGTAGTAGCAGCAGCAGCAGCAGCAGCAGTAGTAGTTTTATTTATATGCCACATTTCTCCCAACAGAGACCCAAAGTGGCTCACATTAAAATTCACACAATTAAAATACAGCTAGACTTCAATTAGGTTACCATTATTATTTTAACTCTTAATTCCCCAGCTCATTCCATGGGATAAATAGGCCAGAATTCCCATCATCTTTTGCATAGCATGAAGTTATTCCTATTGTAAATGTGCTGGGTGTTACACCCTGGCAATGACCAGAGCACAGTTCAATTGCGGAATCAATTACACGTCTCCTGTCACAACCAACTGTGCAATGTGCATGTGGAACCTGATCAGAGCTACTGTCTGTGTAACATCAAGTTATGTAAGTGTAGCTATGCAATAGGATTTCGGCCAATATATCCATCTTGCTCAGTCTAACAGTTTGAGCAATTCCAAGCAGATGCAAGACCCATTACAATCTATATATTTTAACCTGCAGTTTGGTGCACACTAAATTATTAACAAGGTTAATAAATCTTTGGTTCAGATGAAACACACGCAGTTTGGTGCACACTAAACTATTAACAAGGTTTATTAATAAATCTTTGGTTCAGATGAAACACAATTCAACAAGCGTCTCATGAATTGACTCAACTATTAAGGGACCCAAAAGCAGCTTCAAAGACTGGAGTCAGATCTTTTGTATCAAGGGTTTGAAACTGAGGCAAAAAAAACATACACAGAAACTACTGCTAGTTCATAATGTGTGCACACTAAACTATTAACAAGGTTTATTAATAAATCTTTGGTTCAGATGAAACACAATTCAACAAGCGTCTCATGAATTGACTCAACTATTAAGGGACCCAAAAGCAGCTTCAAAGACTGGAGTCAGATCTTTTGTATCAAGGGTTTGAAACTGAGGCAAAAAAAACATACACAGAAACTACTGCTAGTTCATAATGTGAACTGAGTGGTCAAAGACTGGAGTCAGATCTTTTGTACCAAGGGTTTGAAACCGAGGCAAAAAAACACACACAGAAACTACTGCTAGTTCATAATGTGAACTGAGTGTGGGCACCTCACCCCAGAACAGTAGTGATGTGGGGACTCTCTCTTCCTCAGTAAAAGACCTTCCCCATGAAAGAAAGGAACAGGATATGCATTGCAGAGTGGTTAGAGTACAGTGGTACCTCGCTAGACGACAACCCCACTGTATGATGAAACCGCATGACGATGACTTTTTGTGATTGCTATAGCAATTCGCAAAACAGTCATTCCTGTGGGGGAATTCCACTTGACGATGATTTGGTCCGTGCTTCACGGACCATTTACTCGCAAGACGACGATTTTTTCCGACAATCGTCGGCTTCCTAAAATGGCTGCCCTGTGTTTTCCGGACCCATGCTTCGCAGGGCAGCCATAGCTGATTGGCACTCGCAAAATGGCTTCTCTATGGGTAATCTTCACTGGACGACAAGGTATTTTCTCCATTGGGACGCATTAAACAGGTTTTAATGCATTCCAATGGGGAAAGCCTTTTCACATCACGATGATTTCGCTTAACAGCGATTTTCCCGCCTTTTCGCATGATAACGATTTCGCTTAACAGCGATTTTCCCAGAATGGATTATCGTCGTCATGCGGGGCACCACTGTACTTCACTCAGACCATAAAGGGTATGAGCTGGAGATTTATTTAGAACCAAAATACAAATTTAAGATTGCCAGTCCTCCTTAGATAGGAGAGGGGAGGAAGAGAAGGTGCTCCGTGTGTCCAAAGAAGTACAGGTTGCTATGAAAACTTCCTAGCAAATACATTTGTTAGTCTTAAAGGTGCTGCATTGCCATATTCTGTACTATGTCTCGGACCATAAAGGGTATGAGCTGGAGATTTATTTAGAACCAAAATACAAATTTAAGATTACCAGTCCTCCTTAGATAGGAGAGGGGAGGAAGAGAAGGTGCTCCGTGTGTCCAAAGAAGTACAGGTTGCTATGAAAACTTCCTAGCAAATACATTTGTTAGTCTTAAAGGTGCTGCATTGCCATATTCTGTACTATGTCTTACCCAATAAGCTAAACTGACCTCATCTGCAACATTTGGGCTCTTGATGGTCCTTTAGGAGAAAGGCAGGTTTAATGCAGGGAATAGGGTCAAAGCACATGTATTCTCCCCTCCCCCTCTAATTAAAAGGACATGACGCCCTGGTATGTTCAAGCATCACATGGAGAGGCTAATAAGGACTGGACCTCCAAGGGCCTGGAAGATGATTCAGACATGCTCAGCATGCATAAAAATCAATGTCCATGAGGCAAAATGCCTCTAGCTACCATTTATCCAGTACAGTAAAGTAATTCTGGAGCACAAAGTGGTTTGAATGTCCATCTTTCCAGATTTTCAGATCTGAAAAGATACACTATCGATAACTAAATTACATACCATGGCGGGTAGCATCTTTCATCCAAAACACATATCCCCTGGATTTAATACGTTTTCACCAACAATTCAGGCTTTGTGGTAATAATAAGCTTTTCTTCTAAATAAAGAAACGGAGGAAAAACTCCTAACTCTCATAGTGGCAAAGTGTGGCTTGAAACAACACGGCCTCAAGAAGCCAAATGGTGGCTGAATAAGGTTTCTATTGCACTAGAGATGGGTTTTCTGGCAGAAAAAATAAATTATGGGTGGAAATGAAGCGTACCTGAATATAATATGAGTATGCATATGGATTGCTGACTTCAATTATATAAATGCATACGGATTGCTGACTTCAATTTTTCTTGTACTATAGCCTGTGTTCCACTGATACATAATTAGATTTAATGGAAGTCTAGAAGCCACATACAGTGGTGCCTCGCTTGATGAGGATAATCCGTTCCAGCAAAATCGCTGTTAAGGACATCCTCGTCACGCAAAATAAAAAATCCCATTGAAATGAATTGAAAACCCGTTCAATGCGTTCCAATGGGCTGAATAACTCAACATCCAGCGAAGATCCTCCATAGGGCGGCCATTTTCTGATCCCTGTCTTGCGAAAAAGCCTTCCTAAACACAGCGGGGAGCCATTTTGTACACCTGATGGCCATTTTGAAACCCGACAATCAGCTGTTTTTGATCGTTGTAATGCGAAGAATCGGTTCCCAAAGCAGGGAAACGATCATCGCAAAGCGAAAAAAAACCCATTCAAACATCGTTTTGCGATTGCGAAAGCTATCGCAAAAACTTCATCGTGAAGCGGATTTGTCCTCAAGCGGGGTAAGCGTTAAGCAAGGCACCACTGTAGCTCTAAAGGGCAAGTTATCCAGCATGCCAAAACTAGAGTATGCTAGCAAGATGCTTCCATGCTGTATGATGCTTCTAAACTTCTACTCCACTTGCCCAGATATGCATGGAGGGCTCAGCGAGTGCCGATCTGCATCAATCCACACAGTCACAACATCAACACATTCGTGCAGAGATGGGCAACTTCCAGAGACTTAGGAAGAGTGGAGTGGAATTACTCAGATTTTTGCCTCCCAAAGGATAAGACTTGCAATTTCAGGGCATGGGCCTCCTCCTCGTACTTTATTCAGGCCAATAGATGGCTTATTTGCAAACTAGTAATGACCAGAAGATGGTTTCAGTAAGTTACCGGTTGCCTCCACAACATCCACAAATAAACCAGTCCAACTGTTTCCACTAGAGGGCAGAATTGTCCATTTACCCAACAAAAATAATTTATAAAAATTGGGAGGCAGAGTTCAGCATACACTTGGGGGTCAGGTGGGGTCCTTGGAGACCACATGTGTCCCCAAGGTCATCCTCTGTCCATGCCCGTATCACGGCATTGCCACAAAGCCATGAAACAAAAGTAATTCAGATCATCACAATCTCCTGCTTTAAACCTTCTGACTTTTATAGGTACAGAAATGGCTTTAATGGACCAACAAGAATTTAAAAGTCAGTGAGTCTTCGAAGAAAAGATGGCCAACGACATTCTTTAAGGTGTGCCATATGAAATAGACATTTCCACACTAAAAGCAGCTACAAAAGTGTTTGCGATAAACATTATAGGTGTCAGGGAGAAGAAAGCTCATTAAAAGCCTTAACCTGAGAATGAAATTACTTTGTAAACTTCAAAGCTTAAGAAACAATTTGACTACAAAGCAAAAAAAAAAAAACCCAACCCCAAAACTTTTCATTCTAAATGAGTAAGCATTCAAAAAGTATTTCTCATACTAGGAAACTATTTTAAGAAATATTAATTTTACTGCTAATTTATTAGCTGTTTCCAAGCAAGTTAAAATCTCTCTTGACTATTTTTTCAAGGACAGTCATTTCTGTCTTTAAGGGATTGGAAGCATTTTTTTTTGCTAATCTCTTCATTTCACACTGCCAATTAGTGTGGGTAGGGGAGGATGGGGAGGGAGGGAGTGTAATGAAAGCTGTGCCATACCTAGGAAAAGCGGGAGGGGGGGAGAGAGAAGAGGAGTATAATTGCAAACCTTGTAATGCCAAACACTGCCCCCATTTTAAGGATCTTAGAAAAACTCATTAAGAGAAGGAAAATGGACTTATTTAATTCC